GGTGCAGTGGGGGCGCGAGGCGCGGGGCGCTCCGGGGAGGGGTTGGGCGGCCCGGGGTGTTGTTGTTGGGGCCGGTCACTCCCCGTGACCTTTTCTGCACGAGAAGCAGTCAGGCGGCGGGCAGGTAGCGGGCCCGGGCCCCTCGGCTCACCTCGCACCGCCCCGGCGCCGCGCCGCCCGGCACCGCCCCGGCACAGCCCCGGCGAGCGGCGCCCCGAGCGGAGCCAGCGGAGCGCTCACGTGACCCGAGACCACTACGGACAGCATACCGCGCCGCGCAGCGCCGCGCGCTCGCCGCCGAGGGGGAGTTTATCGGCGACCTGCCTGACCCCCGTGTCGACCTGCTCGCGGCGCGCCCCGCGGCCCCGGTGGCGGCGGCGCGCCCCCCGTCGGGCGTCGAGGTCGCCGCCACCGCCGCCGAGCGCGACCAGGGCGCCAACGCCGGGGCCGCCATGTTCAAGTGCTGGTGGAACCGGAGGCGCCGCCACTCGTCCGGTCGGTATGTGCGCTTCACCCGCGTCGAGCCCGAGGGCAGCCTGCGCACCGTCTCGCGCCCCGTGCGCCCCAGCACCCTGGCGCTCAACTCGGCGTCCCTGGCCACCGTGGCCTGTGGCGCGCGCAGTGCCGTGGCCGTCGTCGCGCCGGGCCTGGAGGTCGCACGCAGCACCGCCACCTACGCGGCCCCGGCCACGCCCGCCATCGTCGTGGAAGACGCCGACGCCGAAACCGACGACCTGGAGTGCGAGGTGGCCCTCGGGCACTGCGAAGATGTGGCGCCAGTGGACCGGCCGCCGACCCCCGCCGTGGTCTCGGAAGACGACGACGACGAGGTGGAGATCCGCAGGCACAACGACAGGCCCAGGATGACGGCCAGGGCAACGTGCCGCTACCCCCGGCGGCGGCGCGGCCGCTGCAGACCGTCGCCGACGTCGTCCCGGGTCATCCCGTCGATACGGATCAGCCCGCGGGTCGGCACGCTGCCCGGCGGCGCTCTCGACCTGGGCACGGCCTCCAAGAGGTCGTCGCCGCTGCCGGGGACCGCGGAGCGTGGCATCCTGACCCGCGTCCGTAAGAAGAGCTACCCTTTCGAGGACGGCAACGACGAGGTCTTCTTCATCCGCGAAAACGAAGACGCCGAGCCCGAGGCCATCAAGGTGCAGCTCTTCGACGTCGAGGTGGTCACCGTGACCGCCATCCCCCAAGACGGCGGCGAGGAGGGCGGCGGCAACACGCTCTACCTCGTCGACGGCTACCCGTCCTCCACCGAGGGCGCGACGGACCAGGACGACGGCGGCTTCGAGAACAGCGGCTTCGTCGACGACCCGAACGACTCGGACGGCGGCACGCACCACGTCACGGCGCAGCGACACGTCCAGGTGAGGGCGGCGTCAAGGATTTGGCGACCAGGTGTCGAGAGAGTCGAGCGCCCGACCCACCAGCCGGCCACGCCCGGGACCTGCCGTGCCGCCACAGTGCGGTGGGCTGCCGCGGAGGGGGAACGGGGTAGGGGCGCTACCGTGCCTCCAATTTCCGCCCCCCGCCCCCTCCCTCGCCTTCGGCTGGCGCTGAGCCGCGCTGAGCCGGGGGCGGGCCGGGGCCGCGTTCGCCGCGACGGGCTCCGGGTTCGCTGTTCTGCCCTCGGACGCGACCCAGCGGAGCCCCAGACCAGGGATCGGCCAGAAAATACGTCTACTTTTCTCCGATTCGTGTAGCGAATTCCGGGAGGTATAGGCGCCTGCGAAACTCGGGGTAGGCCAACCCGCAGTACACGCGTGTACCACAGGCGAGATGTTGCCTACCTACCAGGCGGTATGAGGGCTATCAGAGCATGAGCTTGGCTGGTTCGACACTTTTTTTTTCCTGTTTTGTTTCTTAAACTACGATCCCCGTGAAGAATTTATTGCAAAAAATAAATCTGCAGTCTTTTTTTTTATAATTAAAATCAGAAATACTTCGACAAGTCTACAACAATGTCAAATTGTGACGGACGTGTGTACTACTTGCTGGGCGGTGATTCTATATTAGCCGTCTGAATGGGTGGCTGGCTACGATGCTCGGGCTCGGGTGGCTAGAGAGGAGAGCGAGACAGAGGGAGAGAGACAGAGGGAGAGAGACAGAGGAGAGAGAGAGAGAGAGAGAGCGGAGTGGCCCGGGCGGTGGCGCTCGGGTCCGAGGCCCCAGATAGCGGCGCCGGGGGATGCGTCCGCGGCGCGTTGCGAGGTCTTAATTACCATTCTTCATCACGGCCGCTGGGTTGGCCGCCAACTAAATCAAGAACTTGCGCTGTTGCTCGCGCTGCCGCACCGTCTTCCCCTCGCGCGCGCGAGCGCACGCCCCGGGTCGCCGCTGCTGCTGCCGGCTCCAGCTGGGGGTGACCGTCCCGACTTCCGGCCGAGCGTGCGCGCGGGCCGTCCTTCCGTCTGGTCCGTCCTTCCGGACTCGCTGTCCGGCTCTCGCCACAGACGTCCAGTAGCAGTGCTTGCAGCAGTACACCCTTTACTCCGCGCGCTTCCTCTCCTTCGCAACTTTGGGCGGCGGGAACTTGGAGATTGAATTTGTTTTGTAGTGGAAGGTACGGCGATGCGGCGGCTCGTCGCGCGCAGTCCGTCTCCGCTCGGGATGGAGCTGCTGGGCGACGGGACGGCCCTCGAACTCATCAGAGAGCAGCACCGGAAGTACCTTATTCACTTGGGCCGGCAGTTGTTTCGCCCTCCGGGGCTCCCAGGCGCCACCCGACGACCGGCCGAAGGGGGGGAGGGGGTACGAAGTGGGAAGGGGCGTCACGATAAGGGGACGGGGGGGGGAGACACACCGCAACTTGCAGACAAGGATCAAGAATGCTGGAGAGTAGTCCAGGGGAACTGGTGCAAGAGGTTGGGTTGGGAGGGGGGGAGGAGTTGCAGGACTACTACTGGAGGGCTAGAGGGCCCTTGGCGCTGGCCTGCCGACGGCCCCGGCCCGAGCCTCGCTTCGATTGGCCTCTATACAGGGATGGGAAAAATTTAACTAAACTAGTTTCTGTAACTGTAACTAGTTACAATTTGCAGCAACTGAAACTGTAACTAGTTTCATTTTCAAACTAAATAACTGTAGCTGTAACTAGTTACATTTTTTTCTGTAACTGTAACTAATATCAGTTACAGTTATTTTTGCCCAGTAGAACTTTTCAAAAGTATGAGATTTCTTTTCTGTTTATCCACATTCTGTTGCAATTTGCTATCTGGAGTCTGCGGCATTCAGAGGAATGAAGGAAAAGGAGCTGGAAAGACGGTATTGTTTCGGCTCATCTGGGGTCTGGGCAGGCCTGTGCAAGGAAGGTGGCGAGGTCGAGGAGGAAGACCCTTTTATTTACTGCATGTCAATTATACGTATATCCGTTTCAACAGAGCGGTCTTCGAGATGCTCTGCCGCATTTGTCACGGTTCACATTCGCCCGGCCTTGGCGACCTTGGGTTAGCCGCCCGCTTGTCCGGCAATAGTCGCAACACTCTGTACCTGCTGCACAAAAACAAGGATGCCCCCTATCCTTCCCCTTACCCCTACCCGCCCGCACCCGTCCACCGCTAGCCCCTTCTGACCCTCGCTAGACGACGAGGAAAGCAGAGTTTTGCGGACTTTAAATAATGCGTAATCGCCTACCTTGCAAACAATTTTTCCATTACAAAATAATTTATAGAAAACAACGACCAATTTAACTCAAAAACTACCGGGATAACTGTAACTAGTTACAATTTTTGGCGAAAAAAATGTAACTGTAACTGTAACGGCAATCTTTAAGAAAAAGTAACTGTAACTGAAACTAGTTACATTTTTGGGAAAACTAACTGCAACTGTAACTAGTTACATTTTTAAAAGGAACTTTCCTATCCCTGCCTCTATACCTCGCGGTTCTCGACTGCACGGCCGGGTGTTCCATCCTAGTACCGCTGTTCTTAATCGAGCCTCATTTATTCCTTTTTCTTTTAAACCCGAATAATACAAAGACACGTATTGTTAATAGTTCGTTTGTTTTCAGGAGCGGACTTTTGTGCAAAGCCTAAAGCCACCACGAAAAAGCGGTTCTAGCTTAGAGTTACCCTCAAAGCGTTTCTTCGCAATAAAATACAAATTGCAAGGATACACTGTGCAGGTTGCTGCTCTCCTTTCCCGGTGCGGCAAAAAACAATAACACTGATTTGTAGCATGCAAAATACTTTGTAGGTATATTACAACAGTGCGTGGGAGGTGGGCGCGGGTCAAATTTGGCAAACTTTCTCTTCCATTCATCTTTATTTCGCGGCTCCGTTGGGGCGCATTCCTTACCGGCCGCGGCGGTGAGGTGCGCGATGCCTCCCGCGGGTAAATTGTCTCATTTGTAATCTCCCGCCCGCGCGGAGCTCCCTGTCAGCGCCTTCCCCCCTACTCCCCCTTTTCCAACCGGAGGACGAGGTGGGGGGCGGGCCCCCGACACTAATGCAACACCCAATTTAACTAGTCGACAGCTAATTTAATCGCAGGTCTAAGCTCCGTCGGTGTGCAATATGAGGAGGGGGGAGGAGGGGTGGACGAACGCCTCCCCTGGCGCTGCACGTCCCGTGACGGGAGAGGGAGGGCGGGAGCGGGGAGGGGCTTTACCCCTTTCGCCCGGCTCGCCTCCCTCCCTCCCGCCGCCGCCGCACTCTTCGAATATTCAGCGCGCCGGTTTGTCAAACTTGTCCGGCAGCCGCCTCTGCCCCGGCAGCTCCAACTGCCCGCTCCAACGTGGCCGCGGCGCAACCAGCCATTTGCAACCGAGAGGCAATCCCGCACTCAATTCCCCCTTTGTTCGAATTCCTTCTGGCTCTGATTGGATTTCCATCAGCGGCGCCGTTGGAGAGGAGGGAGGGAAGGAAGAAGGGTGGGAGAGGGGGGGGTTAATAGAAATCTCCACCTGAGCTCCGACCGCGCGCGGCCAGAGGAGCAGCTGAGCGCACCCTACGTACACTGCCACTGCAAAAGAGTATGCCGCCCTTCCAAAGTAGTGGTACACGGGAAACGCTAGGGTGTGAATGTCGCACACTTGAATAAGGTGTGTGAATGCGCATCCGGACATTGCCCCCATGTGTGTACGGATGGCGTTTGCACACACCTGTAAGTGCGCGACATTCACTCACTTAGGTTCAAAGAGTTGCAGCGATACCGAAAACCTCTCGAGCAGTAGCAGTTGGCGATGACATCTGGCAGCCCCGGCGCACCGATTGCCAAACAATAAGTAACTGAAAGCCCTACACTATCCAAATTATAATCGTTGTTATCCAGCAATCCAACACCACCGGAAGCTCGAGCGGACCCCTCCGCGTTGTTTGTGTTGTCCCGTTTTCATTGGATTTCGGTGTAAAAACGTTGTGTAGACTGTCGCCGCCACGCGACCCCCACAAGCGATAGCGAGTGTGTACAGGAGATTATCTCCGCGGACATGCACCGACGCGCCGCAAATATTGTGGCACTAAAGAGGGAAGGTGGCTCATCCAATCAATAGATAGTGAGACGGGGCGTCGTGATTATGTTCGTGTTCTACAAGTTTACGGACACGTTTTATATGTGGCGCTACTCTGCTCATGTCCGTGTGTGTGTGTGTGTGTGTGTGTGTGTGTGTGTGTGTGTGTGTGTGTGTGTGTGTGTGTGTGTGTGTGTTTGGAATTGAAAGAAGGCCAGAGGTAGATGAATAGGGGTTGGTTACGTAAGGTATAAAAGGGTGAATTCTAGGAAGTGAACCCAGCGCGCCAGAAAGTCGTGGCGCCCCCCCCCCCCCTTTTCTCTTCGTTTCCACTCGCAAAACCGTAACTGAAACTTTTTTCATATGAAAGATGGTGGACGACGAGAGAGAGAGAGAGAGAGAGAGAGAGAGAGAGAGAGAGAGAGAGAGAGAGTCGGGAAAAGGAGAAGAGGAAAGGGAGCGAAAGATGTCGGGGAAGGCCTTTTGCTCGCTTCCCCGAGGAGAATCATCATCATCGTTTGGTCCGTTTCGTTCGTTCCACTTTTCCAGCTTTATACGTCACAATGTCAGAATGCGATCTCTCAGAAGAATTCGACCCCCCGGGCCTTTGCCCCACCCCAGGGGGTCGTAAGCCTATCAGGGCCCTTCAATTAGGGCGATATGGTGATGGTGGTGCCAGCGTGTCAACCGGCGTGCCTCGGCCTTGGGAAGGGGGTGGGGGGGGGGGGGTGCTGGCGACGGAACCACCCCGCCCCGCGTGTTTCCCCTTCTTTTGTTTATCCCACCAGACCCCGTCGAAGGGACCCCTCCCCCCCCCCTCTCTCTCTGCCTCTCCTTCGACATTCTCGCTGGTAAGCTGATTTCTTTCGGGTGTCTTTAACCAGACGTTGACACGCTCACCCCACGGACAAACTTTGACGG